GTAACTGAGGAAAGTCTTCAGTCACCACAGTGCCCAGTGTCACCCTTATGGGTGTGCACAGCATAGCTTCTTTCCGTTCTTACTGGGAACTAGAAGTGTATCGTTCCTTGAAACAAGTCTCTACAATGCAGCCCAGGCTGGCCTCAAACTCTCAATCTTCTGCCTCAGCCTCGGGAATGCTGAGGTTGGGTTACCTATATGTTTGTGTTACCACGAGGTAGCAAGCATCTCATGCTAACTTACTGGCGCCTGACTAAGCCAGGCGCTGTCTTCCTGGTTGACATAATCCCCATCCCTCCACTTCTTTGCTCATCTATCCTAACCATGTGGTTCTCTTGACTCATCAATGCTTGGGATTCTGGCTTCTGCTCATCTCTCTCCCCAGAACACTCTGCCTACCAACTGTGTCATGCTGACTTCTCTTGTCATCCAGATCTGTGTGCAACTGGCATATTCCTGGAGATGAATTCCATGAGCATGCTGTGTGACATGTTGTTATCTATCAACGCCAGAATGTAGGTTCCATGTGCTGGAACCTTGTCTGAGATCCTTCCTTCTGGAACCCTAATGCCATGGGACTCACCAGGTGCTTGGTGTTATCTCTGTAGATATTTGCCAGATGACTTGGTGAATGAATAAATGAATAAATGAATACCCTTTGATAGGCTCTGGTGAACTCGGCTTGCAAACCTCTTTAGTTCTCCACCTGCTATGTGCCCTCTGCTAGTCAGATGGGACTTCATCCAGATGGCAGCTTCCCTATGACCAATCTCTAAAACTTATAAAGCAGGGGCTCTCAACCCCTGGGTCATGATCCCTTCACCAGGATCGCCTAATACCATCAGGAAACACAGACTTACATTACAATTCATAACAGTAGCAACATTACAGTTATGAAGTAGCAATGAAAATAATTTTATGGTTGAGGTCACCATAACATGAGGAACTTATTAAAGGGTCACAGCATGAGGAAGGTTGAGAACCGCTGATCTAAAGGGTCCAGTGAGATGTCTTTGAGAGCGAGGTGGTTGGAGGGTCTTTGTATGAAACTTGGACAATAACTCAAGAAAAGCAGGCCAAATGTGGACCTGGGGGACCTGACTAAAGGTTTTTTTTATGGAAAAATCCCTGTGGTTGGAATCAGAAGGAGACAAAATAGTTGGGGCTCCTGTGTTCAAGTACACAATGAAGGGATGAGCTGGCTGGGCTATAGCTTGCCCTCCTAGGGAAGATCTCATGTCCTAGGCTGGCGTGGCTTAGGCGGGAGGGATCACCCAGCCTCTTGGAAGATGAACTCTGCCTTGATGCTGATAGAGAACAGGTGTGAAGAGGGAAAGGAGGAATGTAGGAAGTTGACCAAAGAGGCTCTCTAACAGCCCAGAGGAGGACATGGTGGTGATGGACAGGAGAGGGTGAGAGGACAGACACTCATAAGAGGAATCACGAATACAGAACAGAAAAAAGAAACACAAACTATGTGGGCAGATCTGGGTGGTGGTGGCTGAGGTGGCCCACGCCTTTAATCCCAGCACTTGGGAGGCAGAGGCAGGCGGATCTCTGTGAGTTTGAGATCAGCCTGGTCTACAAGAGCGAGTTCCAGAACAGCCTCCAAAGCCACAGAGGAACCCTGTCTCATCTCCTCCCAGCTCCCCTCCCAATAAAGCCTACATTGGCAGGATGAGGAGAAAGAAAGATACTAGTCACCCTAAGCTAGTTCACTGTGTGCAGCGACCTTTTTCATGTCAGGAGGAGTTGAAATCCTAATGCAAAGGCATGGCAAGGAGGGAAATGTGCTTTATCTCCACAGGCTGACACTGACAAGCTCATAGGGATCCCACAGAGGGCTCTGCTCCCCAAAATGAGCTGGGCAGTTGTACCAGGGGAATGGCTAAGAGAATGAAGACATTTTTTACTTACTTTTTCTTTGAGTAAAACAACAAGAATTTTAGTAGTAGGAGGCAAACATAGGAGGACATTTAAAAGTTCAGTATGACCAACACAGGGCTGAGGACATTTTAAAACTTGAATATGACTAACACGGGGCTGATGTTGAAGCCTGCTTGCCTAGGCTGGGCAAGGCTCTAAGTTTGATCCACAGTACTACTGCACAAACAAATGAACACCTAGTATTGATTGAAGACAAGTTTGAAGCTGGAGGACTGTTTCATATCGAATGGAAGATTTGGGGATGAACTTAAAAATGTATAGTGTTGCTTTCAGACATTGTGTGTACTTTTGTTTTACAAAGAGAACTCAAGTGTATCTTTAGAGGTTCAGAGATTTACAGACCACAACTCCAAGGAAAACATATTTCTTCCCAATAAGAGAACACTGCCCTCACTCACTGTTTTAGGCTGAATGAGTCCATTTATCATGACTATCACAAAATGCCCATGTCTGGGTACTTTAAAAGGAAAAAGTTTATTAGCTCCTAGTGTGAAGGCTGAGACATTGGCTCTTGCTATAGCCTCCATGATCACATTTCATTGTAGTAAATGAAGTCAGTTTTGGATCATGTGTAAGAAGGAGAGATCAATTGCCTTAATACAAGGGGAGGTGCTTAGTCTTACTGCAGCTTGATATGCCATATCTTGTTGATATCAGGGAAGGGGGCATGCCCTTTTCTGAGTAGAAATGGAGGAGGAGTGGATGTTGGGGGTCACAGAGGAGGTGGGGGAGGGTCCGATAGGAGAAAAGGGATGTAAAGTTAATTTAAAAAGAAAAGAATACAAACACAAAGAAAAAAAGGAGAGATTCCACTGTGAGACAGGAAGTCAGAGGGTCAAGGCTTACTCTTCATAGAAGTTGGCTCACACAGGAACTAACTGGGTCTCCTGGGACTATTAATCTTCTCAAAGAACACCTAAAATGATTTTTAACCACTTTCCAATTACTCCACCATGTGTGTGTGTGCATGTGTATACATATATATATGTGTGTGTGTGTGTGCATGTTTCATGTGTACTTGGACATGTAGGTGTGCATGTGTAGAGAGGCCAGAGATTGACACTGGTTGCTTTTCTCATTCAGGATCCCTCACTAAAACCGACACTTGTATTAGGTGTGCTGACCAGTGAGTCCCAGGGGTCCTCCTGTCTAGCATTCTGATGATAGCACATGTCACTGAACCCAGATTTTAAAACTATGAGCACTGGGGATCTCAACTGAGGTCCTCATGCCTGCAACAAAAGCATTTTACCAAACAAGATGTCTTCCTAGTCCTTGGTTCCATCCCTTAAAGCCCCCTCACCTCTCACAGCATAGTACTGGAGCTGTGGTCCTGATGTAACTCTTGGGGCACAAGAAACCAAAGCAACAGCTATGCGACTGTGCAGCTATGCGGGGTACTTTGAGCAGACTATTCTGCAAGCATCATAGTGCAATACCAACGACAAGAAAAAAAAACTACTCACATGTTTTTAATAAAAAAAAACCACAAAAGCAAAAGCAAATTAAGTTTTCTCTTTGTCTGCAAATGAAGAAAACCAGAGGTATCAGCCATGAAAACAAGAGAGGTAACACAAAGATTGAAAAGCAGATTGAACCCCAGGGAGCTAGCAGAAGCTAGTGAGAATAATTACTGCTAGCTAGGTAGATCATAGAACAAAAAGAACTTTAAAAGGACACCTCCCTGCAAAACCAATAGAACAGAAAACTTAGAAACAGGAGAAAGAAAACTACTTTGTAGGGCAAAATTATGGCAACAAGAGAGTACAGATGACATAGCTTTGGCCCCCCTCTTGCTAAGTTCGTGTAACAAGCTTGAGGCTAGGGTTAAAAGTGTTAAGAAGAGTCTAGGGAGACAGCTCCAGGGATAAAGCACACACCGTGCAAGTGTGAGGGTCAGAGTTCAAATCCTCAGAGCCCATCAAGAACAGGGTAGGTATGGTGATCCCAGGGCTCTGAAAATGGTGACAGACAAGCTCCAAGGCATAGTGGCTAGTCAGACTAAGTTGAATTGTTAGCTCCGGATTCAGCCAGAGATGATGCCTCAGAAGATGAAGTGGAGAGCAACTGAGGACCACACCCAGCTCAACTGCTGCCCTCCACTGGCCATACAGGTGGACATGCATGCATACACATGTATAATATAGAAAACACAATCAAGGAGTCAGGGTTTACTGAGCAGGAGAACTGAGAGTTTGAGGACAGCCTGGATTAGAGAGTAAGGCACTGTCTCAAAAAGTCGGAAAGGAATGAATTAAAAAGCAAATAAGTGGGGGCTGGAGAGAGATGCCTCAGAGGTTAAGAGCACTGACTGCTCTTCCAAAGGACCTAAGTTCAATTCCCAGCAACCACATGGTGGCTCACAACCATCTATAATGAGATCTGGTGCCCTCTTCTGGCCTGCAGAAAACTGTATACGTAATAAATAAATCTTAAAAAAGAAAAAAGCAAATAAGAGGTGAAGGGGCTAGTCTAGCTGCTAATGGGGACCGTTGAGGATCATGGCAGGTCCCTGCTAGGAACTGCAGGAGCCTACATGAAGGCTGCAGGGCAAGGCTTTGCGAGGAGAGGAGATGCTGAGGCCCTGAAGATGCTGTGTGGTCACAGTCCTCCATGCACCCTCCTCTTCTCTTCCCGGCTTATGGATAACCTCCGACTTCCTCTGGGAGCTGGCACTTCCCCCTTGACTTTATGACAGAGCAGACTGTAGCCGCTCTAGAGGGCCTCGGAAGGCCTTCAGACAGTGTGCCAGGACACAGCCAGGGATTTGGTAGTCAAATCAGCTTGAGAAATGCCATACAAGTAACTCCTTTGAATTCGGGGCACAGCGGTATATTAAAGGCTCCGAGAAACGAGGCAGTTAGAGAGACCGGTTCATCACTGTCTTCCCCAGCAGCTGTGCAGAGAAGCCGGAACACCATAGGCCGTGCTTTCACCACCGGCAGACAGTGAGCTCGGCGGCAGCAGTGGTAAAACTGGCCTGGCATCGGAATCTGATTTGCCTGATCGATTGCTAATGCCTATTCTTCCTCACTTCCCCTTGTTTCCGCCTGATTGTTAAACTGCAGAGAATGGTGGGGACTCCCAGTGGACATTTACCTGGCTAGACCCTCTGCACACGTCCACGCAAAGCTGCAGTCTGGCTGCCAAAGCACTTCCGTGTTGGAAAGCAGTCTGTAGGAGCCCTGTTCCTCACCACCTCCCATCACTGTGACGTCGTGGGCACACCCAGCTCGCCAGGGGTGCAGCAGACTAGATTTGACAAGTGGAGACTTTTTAATAGTGTGGCCCAGTGCCCTGAGGGCCCGGGATGGCGACCCTCACTTACCACCGCAGCTTCCACCGGTCAAGCACATACCTGCTACTTGCTGGGGGTGTGTCCTTCATTGTCTCTCTGAGTTTAACAGACAGCCATCCGCAGACTCTTAGTGTGGTGACTGGACAGGCTGTTTAAGTTCAGAAGGCTTTAAACTCACGTTGATTCCGTTAGTTCTTTGTTTCAAACGTCTTGCCAACATTACAAAGTTTAAATTGCTTAGCATCTTCACCATCGCCCCCACCCCCACCACTGACTAGTCACGGGTACTTGAACTATAATGCTGAGCAAAACGTGCTATTTCCTCCATAGGCCATATGTGTCATCTGCCTTTTATCCTAACAGGCATTGAGACGGCTATCTTATAAAGAGAAATGATTTATTTTGGTCTTGGTTTTAGGTTTAGCCGGTGATCAGTCAGATCCATTGCTTTTGGCAGGAGTGACATATATCAATGCCAGCGAGGACAGGACAGAGAAAACTGCTCATCAAATGGCCAGGTAGGGAAAGAAAAGACAGCAAGGTTGGGGTCCCCATTCGAGGACATGCTTCCAGTGACTCCTTCAGTGCCCAACACACCTCCAAGCACCAAGCCAGAAACCAAGTCTTGAGACGCATGGGCCTTTGTAGAACTTTCTAGATCCAAACAGTAGTCCCAGGCTTCCTCCAGGTCTTACTCTAAGCACGCACTCTGTATAGTCTGTTGCTCACTGCCTGTCTTTCGGTTTCTACCAGCAAGGAGAGGCAGCAAGGAAGAGAATCTGCAGTCAGAGGTCATCACTCCGGGGTCGCCTGGGCTGCGCTTTCAGCCTCCCAGAGTTTGACAATGCTTGGGGAGGAGTGATAATGATCCAGTCACTGAGTGGACGATACTTTTACTGCCCGGTTTCTGGGTTTCGTGTTGAGACAGGAAAGTGCACCCACAGCCGTCATCTATCAATCAAGAGCAGCGGGAGAGCAGACAAACAGTTGGCGCGGTCTGCCTTGAGTGGGGTGAGACAGGTCTGGGCCCAGTGGGAGCTTTGCACAATCTCTTAGGGAAACAAGCAAATGTGAGCTTAAAAAAATGCTTTTCCAAACCAACATGGACTAGAAGATGACAAACAGTGCTCCAAAAGAGAGAATGGGTTCCAAGTAAGCCACCCTGGATGCAGGAGAGATGAGGGGGCCAAAGCGGGTGGGACCCAACCACAAGATGCTCTTCTGGTCTTGGCAGTGCCGAGGAGCAGGCTGGAGGCTGCCCCAAACTGCAGTCTCCCGGGATAGGTAGAAGCCCACAGCTCTGAGAAGCTGTCTGAGAAGGAGCAACAATAAATAGCAGGTGATTTGTGACCGATTTACTATCTATATCATATTTAATTTTTTATTATTTAGTGAGACTCTCTAAGAAGCTTTGCAATTTTCCATTTAGAGCTCAGTCCACCCTTGTTATCTTCCCTCAGAAATTCCTGAAGCCCAAGGAAGGGCAGCCCAGTTTCCAGACAGACGTTGGTCCCAGCAGACGTTTGTCCCAGCCTCACAATCGACCTCTAGGAATCCTGGGTAAGCAAAGACAAGCGTGTGGCAGGGCACGCAGCAACTGTCCCACAGACTTTCCCAGACTTTGCTCATCAGGGAATTAGGACAACAGTAACTTAACAACAGGGGTTGGTCTCAATAAACCTATTAATGTCACCAGAAAATATGGTAAGCTGACAATTCACTGGGTGCAGTTAACCTATAAAAGCAACCTCGCCTAGCTAAACAGCTCACTGTAGAGTCTCCTTCACTCCCTTCGGGTTGACAGGGCTGACCGGAGCTTGGGCTCCCCCCACCCCCAACTTCCTGGAAGAACCATTCAAATTTTGAGGTGCAATGTCTCCTGCATGCACAAAGCTTTTGTACTACAACAAAATAGAAAAAGCATAAGTCAGATCATTATGCTTCAGAACCCTGTGTAGTAATCAATTTATATTAGTAATACTTGAAAATTCAACCCCACTCAAAGATGATCATAGATCACCTCGACTAAAGGGGACAACAGAGTTTATTGAGTCACCCCCACCCCACCCCATCCCCATTTCACAAGGTGGAGCTGTACAGGAAGGTACACCAAGCTCAAACAGAGAAAGGCTTGCTGGAATCCTGCAGCTATTTCCTCTAGAGAATAGAGACACAGTTTAAGGTCCTTCCAAATAGCCACCATTTTGCAGTTTGGCTCTTCAGAAGCAGGGCCGCACACATAAAGATGGGGACAGAAATCAGAAACACAGCTTAAAGAAACGGGCACAGAGGGAGAGGGGTGTGAGGAGGCCCTGCGAGCTTATTTAGATTACTTCCACCCCAAGTAAATCCTCACAGACAGGAAACGCCATCAAATATTTATGTATGAATGGATATATTGAGTCGTCCATGCCTTCTTAAAACGTCCTAATGTATAGATGCAGTTACATATCTTAATTGCTAATTCAATAAAAATTATTAGCATCTACTGGACTAAACCCATAGGGATTAGAGTGAAAGTGAGGGTATAAATATTCATAATGAGGAGACTAACGTTCACTGAGAGTTACGCTTGACATACTGGACACGTCTTAGCTTGTTCACACAGAATAGTAAATACGGTTCTTTTCCCACTTTATAGATGACTCAGGTTATTGGCATTCCTAACCCCTAGGTTCAAGAGGCTCAGGTGAGACCTCTACCGCTAGAACTTGGCATGGAAAGGATGGAACTCTTCCTGATCCAACATTCCCGTGGGGTTAAGACTTTCAACGGGAGAATTAAAAATGAGACAGAGACTTCAAATGGAAGAAAGGGAAGGAAGAATTCACGAGGAAGGATCTCACAGGCAGGGGTTTAAAAGTGAGGGAAGAGGAACGTAGGTGAGAGAGGGGTACTGGGAAGTGAGCCTTAGCAATGGGGCTGGTCCTAACAGGTATGTCCCACAGGTGCTGAAACAGAGCAAATGATGCTAGGGTTGGATCAGTCATGTCCAGAGGATAGAGGCGTGTCTTAAATCCAGTTTAAGGGAGACAATCGTCTTGATACAATGCGGATGGGACAAGATGTGATGATGTCATTGGGGAGGTTGCTGGTGGCCATGAGAGCCCCTCTTCTTGGGAGGAGACTGCCAGATGGATGTAACCAGCCTTTGGGCAATGGCGACAGAGCTGTGAAGAACCAGGGAAGACTTTGAGTGCCGAGATATCTTCCTTTCCCATACCCTGGGGTTTTAGTTACTCTGGAATTTGAAGATCAGCAATGGACCACAGCCAAGAGGTCTGTTTAAAAAAAAAGGGGGGGGCGATGTGGCTCCTACAGTTGGCGACCCTCCAATGCTCTATTTGATGAATCTGCCTTCAGATAGCTGTGTGCTGGTTCAGGTAAATCACAGTCTTCTTGCTAAGGCCCAGGAACCAGACTAAACCACATTCTCCAGCCAGTCGCGTGACTCCGGTGCCTCTGGTGATGGCTGGTCACGTTTTCCAGTTTGTAGCCTGGGTTTTATCTCTGTCCTGCTTCCTGCCCCCAAATCCTCTGTAGCACCCTGCTTCCTGTCATCTGTCCCTGGGGGTTGCCAAGCTCCATTCCTCCTACTTTGGAAGAACAGCGCCCCCTTGTGATCATGACCACTTACCTCCGAGAGCTGGACAAAGAAAGCTGTGGTTCTACCCTAAGATCTTGAGGCAGAATCTCAGCCTTGACATCTACCAACTGAGCAACCCCAAAGCCTTTAACCCCTCTGAGTCGATTTTATTTACTAACGTTTAAGACCCACTGCCCTGAGAATGAAGAGCCTTGAGTCTTTCAGACTCTTTCTTTCTTTCTTTCTTTCTTTCTTTCTTTCTTTCTTTCTTTCTTTCTTTCTTCCTTTCTTTCTTTATTTCTTTCGTCTCCTCCATTAAATCTTTTCTTTGGGGAGCAAAGGGGCCCAGAGGAAGGCCCAGTTACATCAGATGAAATGCCCCCAAGTCTCTTTCTATTTACATGCCTGATGTGCTCCCTTCACCCAGGGTTAGTCTCCGAGGATGGAAATGTCCCAGGTCCCAGAACCCAGGGACTCTTAACAGATGCTGTGAAGTAAGTGAACTATTGTTAGAGGTTCCCCTCCACAACCCCTCGCTTTCCTTCCCCCCCCGTAGCATCCCTCTTGACCTTGAGCATAAAACACAGGTTTTAAGAGGTGGTTAATGTTTAAAGGGAGAGTCAGGCTAGGCAGGACAATCAGTGTGTTGCTCAACTGGCAAACAAATCCACCTGCTTTGTTGCTTCCTAAACTAACAGGCAGCAGTCAGAAGACGGTCACTCACCCAGCAGTGGCTCACAGCAGCTGGCAGGCCACCTACAGGGCAATTGCACAGTGGGCTGCAATAATGGGAGGCTATAAATAGACTTTTCCAAGAAGCTACACGCTGGGGTTGGACGGGCCTGATGGAGAGTCATGATTTGTTGCCCTTCAAACAAGTAGGGAAACACTTGTAAAGGGCTCTATAGAATGTAAGCCTGGGGTAAAGTAGTCTGCTCTTCTCAACTTCTTTCCTAGTTTATGGCGGCATTTGAGGGGTTCTGTTGCGTTCCTAACTGCTGGCCACTAGCGTAATAATAATGGAGACAATAACAGAAATTCCTCGGTAGGTTTCGCTTCCCCTCATTCCTATTGCCCATACCAACAATACCTTAGTAGGTCTTCATTTCCCCCTCATTCCCATTCCCCCATATCAGCAATTCCTTAGTAGGTCTTCATTTCCCCTCATTCCTATTGGTACATACTTTCTAGTCTCTTACTACATAAGTATGCCTTTCTGGAGGTCTCATCTAGGACTGATGCCTTTAACTCCTTGTCTACAAGACCGATTCCCCTACTCCCTTGTTTGTTCATGGTTTTCCTGTTTAGACTCTCAGAGGGCATTTCCTTTCTTTATAATTATGGTCTGCCATTTTTAATACACACTCCTTGTTTTTAGATTACATGTGCCTCTATCAGTTTGTACAAAATACAATGGAAGTTTACTTTCATGGACGATGTGACAAATAAATATGAACAGGAGTTACATTTTCTCCCTGTCCATCACTAGATCATTTTAAAGATATCAGTGGGTATGTTTGAGCATGGTACCCAGTCATCCTGCTAGGCTCTCAAACCCTTCTGAGATCTGGTTCCAAGTTACTCATTGTCTTAGTTAGGGTCTCTATTGCTGGGAAGAGACACCATGACCACAGCAACTCTTACAATGGAAATCATTTCATTGGGGTGGCTCCTTTATGGTTTCAGAGATTCAGTCCATTATCATCATGGAGGGAGCATCGTGGGATGCAGGCAGACAGAAGCTGAAGAGCCCTACTTCTCGCAGGCATCAGGAAGTAGACTGAGACGTTGGGTGATATTCTGAGCATAAGAAACCTCAAACCTGCCTCCACAGTCACATACTCCCACACCCTCTCCAACAAAGCCACACTTCCTAATAGTGCCACTCCCTATGAGGTTATGGGGGCCAATTACATTCAAGCTACCTCATTCATTCATTCACATTTCTAAAAGGCTATTGTGCTCAAGTCCTGGGCTGGGCTCAGGAGCTAACAGCCTCTATTGATCGGAAACTCAGTCTAGGGAAGAGAGAAACACATAAAATAACTCCTGGAGAGTTTATATGTTTCATTACAGAAGGCTGTACACATAGAGAGTTCATGAGAGTCAGGAGAGGCCTCACCAGGGGCTGTTTGTACTGCGTGTTGAAAAAAGAGCTGGAGTTTATGATGCCATGAAACAGAGAGAGGGCCTTATGTCACAGGGAGGGCAAGGGCACAATGTGGAGGAGGAGGAGGAGGAGGAAGAGGGGAAGGAGAAGGAGTAAGGAGGAGGGGACTGTATACAGGGAAGGTACCGGCAGGTTGCTAGGCAGATGGGGCATGCAATCCAGGGACACAGAAAAGAAAAGCTAGTGTGAGTCATGGATTTATCGAACTCTGCTCCTTCCTGAGGGGCTTTTGACTGTCTCCACAGTTCCAGGGATGGAGGAACTGCCATTGGTTTTTCTCTCCTTGTACTTTTAATAAGAAACTGATATTTGTGAAGTATTCCCAAAGAACCCACTTGTCTTTGAGGCTCATTAACCCATCCTGTGCGTAATGGTTGTCAGGCAGTCAGTTGCTGGGTTTCCATGTCTGAGGTACTCCTTCTTCTGAGGGAAAACAGTGTAGATGAACGAGTGTTGTCTTTGCATGGGGCACCTATGGTTGCTTTGCCTTGGACGGGCGCTAGACACCTTAAACCATCTAGACTTCCTTCTCGTGAACAGAGTCAGGCATTTACAACACCCTTCCTCTTGATGGAGGTGTGGCCCATGTTGGAACACCAGTGCTGTTCTCTGCTATGCTCTGCATGATGCTGAAACAGCTGCCCCGAACCCTGGACCCTATCCTTGTATGCTAAGATGAAATAAAGCAAATGATACCATAATTCAGAGAGAAAATGTGTTGAAATAGAAATGACAGCACTTGTCATCTCGGCTGGGAATGACAGTCATGGAGGACGAAATGAGGAGACAAAAGAGGCTCTAGAGGCATGTGACCTTCAGGACAGCTGAAACTCTGGGCAAGAGGGGGCTGTAGTAGAAAATGAACAGGAACCCGCATGCTAGGCTCAGCCCTCTTGTTGAAAGGGTTTTCAAGGAGTAT